TGAGTGATGCCGACCACGCCTTTCACAGTTCAATGAGGCCCACCTGGGGACCCGACGGAACGTTGCTGTTCACATCGACCCGTTCGTCTCTTGAGGATGCCAGCAAGAAAGGCGCAGCCAGCAACCTGATGATCACGAAGAATGTCATCCAAGCGGAAGGGCGAGAAATCCAGGCGGCCAAATTTTCCAATGAGGTGAGCTCGTCTGATGGCATGCCATGAGGTACAGCGACTAACACATGTCAGGACTCTGCTAAAGCCCTCGAAAATCACATTCGCCTAACCAACGTTGAGCTCGTCGGGGATGTCCCGAAGCTGTCGTTGCAGCCTGGTTCGCTCAAGTCTCTTTTCCATGACCAGGACTCAGGCAACCCCGCGAATGCGAACGAGAAGCTTGTTTGGGATCTTGCTTGCATTCTGTTTGACGGCGACGCCAGCACTGAGTCTCGCAGAAGCACGCTATCCCAATTTTGGGCAACGCTTGTTGACTCTGCATCATCACGGTCTGTTGCTCTTGCAAAGTCCAGCGAAGAGAAGGCCATTGCAGCCTTGTCTGGTCACCGTGTCCAAGATGCCTGCAAACACTTGCTAGACGGGAAGGATTTCCACCTTGCGACGCTAGTATCATTGATTGGTAGCAGTGACCAGTCAAAGAAAGACATGCGCGAGCAACTCAGCGAGTGGCAAGATGCTAACTTCCTGTCTGAGTTCTCCGACCCTGTCCGAGCGATATACGAGATTCTGAGCGGCAACGTGTGCGTGTGTGAAGGGAAAAAGGAGGTTCCCCTTCATGACCGCATTGAGTCATTTGTCATTTCCGAACGATTTGGCTTGGATTGGAAGCAAGCATTTGGTCTTCGCTTATGGTACTCAATCTCGCGCAAAGATGACCTTTCGGCCGCGGTCCGCGTGTTCAAGGAGGACGTGACTCAGGACAGGGAGCAGCGTCCACAGACGTGGTACGTTGAGCAAGGCATTCCGGCACTCTGGGAAGACCAAGACCAAGACCTGCGGGAAGACCTCCTATGGGGCTTGCTCAAGCTGTACGCGGACAGCGAGACCGATTTGGAAGCTGTCCTGCGGCCAGAGAACAGTCAACTATCACCACTGGACGTCCGGCTTAGCTGGCAACTGAGCCGCGCGCTCCTCTCTACTGGCAAGGTTGCTTACGGTCGCGACGCGACGGAAAAGGCTGACGCTCTGACAATTTCCTTCGCCGATCAGCTCATCAACGAGGGCAGTTGGCTGGAGGCCACCTTTGTGCTGCTGCATCTCAGCCAGGCAGACAGAAGGGCGAAGGCTGTTCAAGATAACCTTTGCCGTCATGCTGCTCTTTTGGGTCCGGAAAACGGAAATAACTTCGCCACGCTCGCTCACACTTTGAAGGTGCCGGCCTCTTGGATTTGGGATGCCCAGGCTCTTTACATGCGAGCGGTGAAGAGAGATGCTGCTTCCGAAGTGCAGTGCCTACTCCGTGCCGGCTCATATTTCGAGGCCCACGAGGTTTTCGTGCACAAAGTTGCGCCTTCTGCCGTCATCAGCCGCGATTATAATGAACTGGCCTCTATTTTGGCCCGTTTTGAAGACCACAAGAACGACATCGCAGGCTGGACTCTGGGTGGTGAGGTCTACAAGGCCTTTTTGGAGCTTGTGGATAGTCGCAGGCAGCGGCAACAGGTCTCCTCGTCTACCCTCGAGAAGTTGGTTGCGGGCCTTCCTGCCATGCGCGAGCATGCAGAGAGTGCCAACGTAACGAGTATGGCAGCCATCTCAGAGATGAGCTCAACAGTAGCTAAGGTTATGGTGGAGACGTCCAGACAAGACCAGGTAAGAATGTCCGAGGACCACTTCTCGTTAACGCAATGTACTAACAAAATCTCCTTCATAGGATGTTCCTCGTGTACTAGGTCTCCCCGTCACAGAGGACGGTCACCTCAAGCACTCACTGCAACTGGGTCTTTCCTACTATGAAGGATTGATGGCCGGAGCCAGATAGGCGATAGGAGAAAAAGGATAAAGAGAGAAGCTAGGGTGCAGAGGGAGACTGCTTTCTGGAGTTGGGCATGGCGTCAAGACTGCCCAGAGGGAGGGAAAGGAAGCAATAATGTATCATGTATGTTGTAAGGCGTAGCTGCATTCTGGCGTATCCAGAAATCTATATGTTTTGCCTGAATGGCGTTGTACTGTCGCAAGCATCAAAATAATTGTTTCTACCAATTGGAATGGCCGAAGTATTGTGTTATGTGTGTTTTCTACCTCATGATTACATTGAGAGGTCGTGGGATGGAAAAGTAGACCTATAGGTAGGTTCATGAGCCAGCCACTCAAGTCAACCCACTTTGTAACCTAATTCCCACCAGCTATTTGGGCGCTTGTTGCTAAAGTTCTATCTCTCATCACCAAGTTACAATAACCCCCGCGGTACAATATCACAAAATCAAAGGTTCTCAACTTTCCACTGACCTGTGACTCATCCGGGCTCGTATCAGCATGCGTGAGTATCTCAACTAAAGCACCCAATTCACCAAATCCTGCACGTAGCCACGCCATGTCACAGCCCAAAAACTGGCCCTCGGGTCTGTCATACCTTTCAGCGCCGGCGCACTCCAAGCTCTTGAGCCAAGCACAACGGCAAGCCATCGCACAGAAACCACCAGACGTGCCCGACATCCCCGCGCAAGCCACCGTGCTCCCCAGCCCGCTGGTCAAGATCACGCCCATCACGGACGCGGGGCACCCGGCCCAGGGCCAGTGCGGGCTCTTCGCGACACGGCACCTCAAGCCGGGAACGTTTGTCCTGCCGTACCTGGGCACGGTACACCCCGGGGCCGGGGCCTTGGGAGCCGAAGCCGGGACGGAGAAGTCGGATTACGACCTGTGGCTGGACCGGGAGGCCGAGGTGGCGGTGGACGCGGACAAGGGCGGGAACGAGGCGAGGTTCATCAACGATTATCGGGGCGTCGGGGAGAGGCCGAATGCGGAGTTTCGGGAGGTTTGGTGTCAGAGATGGAGGCAGAAGTGTATGGCTGTGTGGGTGCTGCCCGAGGGCAAGAATGGACGGGGGAAGGGGGGTATTGGGAAGGGGGAGGAGATTTTGGTGAGTTATGGGAAGGGGTTTTGGGGGAGTCGGAGGAATGAGGAGGGATGAGGTCCTTTTGGCATCAGGATTGTTTTTTTTTTATTTTTTATAAATAAAATCACCTCATCTGATGACATGAAAATCAACGGGTTGTTTGTTTTGAACTATTCTGTCGGCCAAGTGGCTAGGACTGACGTCCATCTCATTCCAGAACGAGAAAGAGAAAGGTCAAGATGAATTTCAAGGCAGCCATATTCAAGAGCCTCGGACTTCTTGGCCAATGTTACTACGCTGTGCCTGTCCGGCTTGGTGCCACGACGTGCCCAAGGTCGAAGAGGCTGTGCCAAAACATGCCCGAACCGATGATGTACTTAATAGTACTGGAACGTAAGAACGACGGCAACCTGAAGGCTCCGCGAATACATGGGCGTAGCTGCCACAGCTTCTCGTCGAAAACAAAGAACTTAACGAGTGAGGCTCTCGAAAACAACTATATGTGGTATCGAGACATACCTAATACTTACAGTCTGCATATATCACAATCAACTAGAGACCGAATGCTTTGAATCACGCCGCGGCGCGGCCAACTATAATGCCCTCCGGCATAGACTTCCGTGCCAAAGTCCGTTATTTTGTGGAAAATTAGTAGCATATCTCACTTGTGGGCCTAGGTGGAAGGCATCATCACTTCTGAGCCGGGCGTGGTCAACCACTGCAGTCTGCCGCATATGCGTCGGGCAACGAACTGTGTTTGACATCGGGATTGCACGAATCCCGTCCAAGCCTCACGTGTATGGCTACGAACGTCGAACGAGCACTTTTCTGCCTGGGCATGGCGCCAAGCCGATGGCGGATTACTCTGCCTTTGCCCAGATGTGTAGTCCGTCCAGTTTCATCTTTTCCCTTTCGGATGTTAAGATTCTGAATATGAACGCTGCTTTGAAATAGATGCCAGTCTGAGTGCCGTGTTCCGCCGGCATCGTACGAGGTCTATCGTGTTCAACTCTACCAATTCTCCCGATCTGAACAAGCTACCTAGATACTTTATACGAACACATAGTACGGAGTAGAAGTTACGACAATAGTTTCCGTGGGGTAACCTATTTCGGGTAAGCATGTGCCAAGGTTCCTTGGTGATTCTTGGGGGTTGAACATTTTGGAGGTAGTGACGACGACGATTATACGGGAAGGTGCACGGTGGGCAGTGTGGCCTATCATTTTAGGTTGGGTGGAGAAGGCAGGAACCGAAACGCAAATCAACGTTTGCCCGGGCCCAGAGGAGCTTCCATGCTGTTGGCTGGGTGGCTGCTGCTTCCACGTTCAATCTCCAGGCGTTAAGCGAGCTGTGGAGGCCGCGCGCCCCTGTCATCCCGTAACGTACCTTAGGTTACTCTGCAGACGTACGGACTTCAGTAAACGCCTTTCTTTCCTGTCCGGGTGGCGTCCGGCGCGTTCATCCCGAGTCTGCGCACACTTCGAGACGTTCCGATGTTCATCTCAGGTGTCTGGAAAAGAAGTTTTGGACCTACTCAGGACCCTTCAATTCGTCTTACTCCGACTCTGTAGTGACCAAGGGGCATCGAGTCGTTGAGTATTCCTTCTACCGACCAAGAGTCTGCGCCCAGTCTCAATCCTCAAGGGACCACTTTCATTACAAAGCGGCATCGCCATTTGTTTTCTTTCCCCGTCGATCTGACTCCGATTCTCGCCCTTCTCCCATGTCTAGGCACCCTGGACTTGACTAATTTTCAACGACATCCTTAACATCGCGCACATTTCATATTGCAAACCTGCTTTTCCTCTACCAGCTGACCTTTCCGCCTTCATCGTCGACTTGGGCCTTCTCCCTCAATACCAACCTCCGGACGACACTGGCAGGCAACAGAAAGTAGAACCTGGCCATCGGCCGACGCTCGCCAAACATGGCGTTCCTACGCCAGACATGGACACTCACACTGAAGAACTGGAAAATCATATTTCGCCACGCCATCTCCGCCATCTTCATCGCCTTTATTCTTCCCATAGCTCTGACCACCTTCTTCAGCTTTGCAAAGAATCTCTTTGTTCCTCCCGCTGTATATGGTGTTTCTGATCCGAGGCATATTCGCACTCTCCCAAACGCTCTCGATGCTGCCGCCAGCGCTGGGAGACATAAAGTCGTATTTGTGAATGGAGGCTTTTCTGGAGGTGACATCGACGAGGTCATTGATAAACTCGCCGCTTCTGTCGAAAGCGCTGGCAAGACTGCTCTCCGCCGCACGTCCACAACTGAGCTTTCGCTCGACTGTCCTACCAACCTTCGCGGCGTCTCCAATTGCTACGGAGCCGTTGTCTTCCAGTCATCGCCTTCAGAGGGACCCGGAGACTACTGGAACTACACCCTTCGCAGCGACGGGGCCTTGCGAAGCATAGTCATTGACGTCGACTCGGACAAAAATGATGCCCAGATCTACCTGCTGCCACTACAGAGAGCCGTCGATGAGGCAATTGCTTCCGTCCAGGCCGCTTCCGGTTCTGCCTCAACTTCTGTCCAGCAAGGCCCTCTGCCCGGCACTGTCGACGAATATCCTTTCACCAGCCTGACTCAAGAAGAGCGTGCCGTCCGCGTCAGGATTAATTATCAAAGTGCCATCACGAACTGGATGGGTGTTGCTTTCATGACCAGCGTTCTCTTCATCACCTATCACCTTACGGGCTTCATTGCGACCGAGCGCGAGAGTGGCATGATCCGCCTCGTGGATGCTATGATGCCCGTCAAGCACAGATGGTTCAGTCAGGCTGCCCGAATCATTTCCTACCACGCCGCTTTCACCGTCGTCTACCTTCCGGGCTGGATTATAGGATCATTGGTGCTACGTGCCGGCGTCTTTGCTCGTACCAACGTTGGCATCGTGCTTGTATATCATGTCTTGAACGGCATAGCCATGGCGTCCCTCTCTATTCTGGCATCTTCACTCTTCAAGAAGGCTCAGATCAGTGGCACCGCGGCCGTACTCGCTATCATACTTCTTGGAATCCTCGCACAGTCCATTAGCTACCCCAGCACCGCTGCCGTTGGTGTTCTCGCCTTTCTCTTCACGCCATGCAACTACGTGTACTTCATTACTTGGATGGCACGTTGGGAGCGAGAAGACCTCCCAGCCGACCTATCCAAGGTCGCTCCCAAGAGCCCGTGGGATATTTCCGGCATCATTCTCTGGGTTTTCTTGATTATCCAGATTTTTGTGTACCCTTTGCTCGGCGCTGTCATTGAGTCCTCCTTACACGGCACTACTACCAAAGGCAGAACAATTGTGTTCAACCGTGCTCAAGCTCATTCCAACACCGACGAGCCGGCTGTGCGCTTGCAAGGCTTCACCAAGGTCTACAGCTCTTCTCCGATGCGACGTTTGTTTTCCTTCATCTCAAAGCCACGAGAGTCCGTACGCGCAGTCGACGGTCTAACGTTGGATGTCCGGAGAGGACAAATCCTCTGCTTGCTTGGTGCGAACGGTAGCGGAAAGTCCACAACGTTGGACTCTATTGCTGGCACAAGCAAACTCACAGGCGGCACCATCACTATTGACGGTACCGGTGGACTGGGAATTGCCCCGCAGAAGAATGTCATGTGGGATGACCTGACCGTGGAGCAGCATATTGAGATATTCAACAGGCTCAAGTCCCCTGGCAAAGGTGCAAGCAAGCAGGAAATTCAAGACCTAATCAGGTCTGTTGATTTGGAGACGAAGGCAAAAGCTGTGTCGAAATCGCTTTCAGGTGGCCAGAAGCGCAAGCTTCAACTGGGCATGATGCTTACAGGAGGAAGCGCGGTTTGCTGTGTCGATGAGGTCTCGAGTGGCATCGACCCTCTGTCGCGACGCAAGATTTGGGATATTCTACTAGCTGAGCGCGGAAGACGGACGATAATCCTCACAACACACTTTCTCGACGAGGCTGATCTCCTGGCCGACCACATCGCTATTCTCTCCAAGGGCACGCTACGTGCCGATGGCTCTTCGGTTGAGTTGAAAGATCGCCTGGGTGGCGGTTACCGAGTCCATGTGACCAAGGAGACAGGTATGGGCAACACACCCGACATCGAAGGGGTTCAGAAGAAGATACACTTCGACCTGATAAGCTATATCGCCCCATCTTCTTCACTTGCCGCGCAGGTGATTCGCACTTTGGAAGCCAACAACTTTCACGACTACCGTTTCTCCGGGCCCACCATCGAGGACGTCTTTCTTCAATTGGCGGAGGAAATCCACGATTCCAAGGCGAGCGAGATTGTTCCTGATTCAGGTTCAGACTTGAATGAGAAGTGTGTAGCTGGCGACGTTGGCGCTACTCCTCAAGCTGGACTTCAACTCCTGAGCGGTCAGCAAATTGGATACATGCGGCAGGCTGCTATACTTTTCCGGAAACGAACGACAATCTTGAAGACAAATTGGATTCCCTACCTTGCAGCGTTTGTCTTACCCGTTGCAGCCGCTGGCCTCGTCACCCTGTTCATCAAAGGCCAAACACAAAGTGGCTGCGCTCCATCTGAAGAGCGCTCGCTTGATCAGACGCAAGGGTTCAGTCTGACAGATTTTACATGGAAACTAGTCCTCGGTCCCAATTCACGATTTGACCTCAACACTGCCGCCAGCGTTCTTCTACCAGTATTCAACGCTGCCGCCGGCAACTCTGGCAACGGATCGACCTCTGGGACTGGAACCGACTTCGCAAGGCAACTACTCGCCGAGAACGCCACTTTCACGGACAGCTTCAAAGCCTTCCAAGACACTGTGGTTGCACGGCGGGTCGAGACTGTTCCTGGCGGTATCTGGCTAGGAGACGACTCCACGGTGCCCACCATTGCATACATGTCGAACTACAACGGTTTACTGAACCCTATTTTGAGCCAGAACATCTTGAATATGCTCCTTAGCAATGTTACTGTCATGATGGCATGGGCACCCTTCGCTACGCCTTGGCAGCCCAACGATGGCAACTCGCTACAGTTCCTCGTATATACCGGGATCGCACTTGCATGCTACCCAGGCTTCTTCGCCCTATACCCAAGTCTGGAGCGTCGACGACAGGTTCGTGCCTTACAGTACAGCAACGGAGTTCGAGTTCTGCCCTTGTGGGCGGCTTACTTGGCGTTCGACTTCATCATCGTTCTCGCGTCAACAGCTTTGGTTACGATAATCTGGGCTGTTTCGTCCGGTATCTGGTACCACATAGGCTACATCTTTCTTGTCTTCATGCTCTACGGACTGACTGCGATTCTTCTGGCCTATGTTATATCCCTATGGTGCAAGACGCAACTGTCTACTTATGCCTGGGTAGCTGCTGGTCAGGCGGTTCTGTTTTTGGTCTACTTGATAGCCTACATGTGCACCATCACCTATTCCCCAGTTCCCAAAGTCGATCGGAACATTCTCGTTGCTCACTTCGTCATCTCGGCTTTTGCACCTATTGGTTCTGTAGTCCGGGCTATGTTCCTGGTTCTGAACTTATTCTCAACAGCCTGCGATGGACGACAACTAGCGGCGTACCCTGGTGGCATTCTTCAATACGGCGGGCCAATCTTGTACTTGGTTCTGCAGTCAATCCTTCTGTTCGCGCTTCTGCTATGGGCTGATAGCGGCTCCGTTGGCTCTTCAGTTCGGCGACTTTGGCAGCGAAAGTATGACGGGCCATCGGATGATGGCAGTGTCGCCGACGAGGAAGTTTCAAACGAACTGAAAAGAGTCACCACAACATCGGGTAGCGACGACGGTCTCCGGGTGATTCATCTTACCAAGACTTTTGGCAAGAATACAGCAGTCGATAACGTAACGTTCGGGCTCAAGCGGTCTCAGGTCTTTGCCCTTTTAGGGCCCAACGGCGCTGGCAAGTCAACTACCATTTCACTCATCCGCGGTGACCTCAAGCCAAGTCGGAACGGTGGTGAGATCCTCGTCGAAGATCAATCTGTTATTCACAACTTGCCTGCTGCTCGATCTCATCTTGGTGTCTGCCCTCAGCACGATGCGTTGGATCTGATGACAGTCCGGGAACATCTAGAGTTTTACGCTCGCATCCGAGGCGTCCCTGATATTCACCACAATGTCAACACCGTCATTCACGCCGTTGGTCTTCAGGCATTCTCGAACCGCATGGCGGCGGCCCTGAGCGGCGGAAATGCCCGTAAATTGAGTCTTGGTATCGCACTGATGGGATCTCCTAGCGTGATCTTACTCGACGAGCCATCCTCTGGGCTGGACGCCGCCGCCAAGCGAATCATGTGGAAGACGCTGGCGGCCATCGTCCCAGGCAGATCTCTCCTCCTCACTACGCATAGCATGGAGGAGGCCGATGCTCTCGCAGACCGCGCAGGAATTCTAGCAAAGCGAATGCTTGCTTTGGGCACGACAGATGATCTTCGTCATCGGTTCGGCGATGCACTCCACGTCCATCTAATTAGCAGAACGGCACCGCACACGACACCCGAGGAAACTGCACAGCTTCGCAACTGGGTAATATCTACATTCCCAGGGGCTGATGTAGAGGAGAAGACGTACCATGGTCAAATGCGCTTCTCCGTCCCCGGAAAAGAGGTTCTCGAAGTTTTCGGCGGTGACAAAGTCGGAGACATCACGCCGGCAGATACTCACTCCTCAAGTGCGGTTGGCCAACTGGCTGTCATGCTGGAAGAACAGAAAGGGGCGCTGGGTATCAATCATTTCAGTGTTTCGCCAACCACCTTAGACCAGGTATTCCTGAATATTGTCGGTAAGAACAATATCCAAGAGGAGGGCTACAAAGAGCCCGAGAAGAAGCCATGGTGGCGGTTTGGACGATGAGAACAGTCGCCAACATGTACCGTCGTTACGTACTGCGGCTTTGAGATACCCAATTACTGGAGCGTCGACGACACTATGCTGTCATAGGCAGCTCATTTAGACTTGAAGCATAAGACATAATACATCAGACTTAATATATCATTAGTTAATCATTATTCGGACGCGTGAGCAAACCAGCGCCATTTAATACATCCGTAGCGGTTGCCCGCGTTTATGTTCGCAAAACCCCATCCACATAAGAGTCAACTCTCCAGATGTAACCGCCAGTCTCGAGGGACGACGCCTGCGTCTCCCGTTGACTTTCAAGCTCAGATCTTCTCGCCGCCACATCGGGATGGTACTGGCAGAAGATCTGATTAGATTCCGCAGAGATATTACTCAATCAGTTCCCGCATTGAAAGCGCTGAAGCGCACATCCAGGACTCGATGGTGCCTCGACACTCTGTCTCAAAGAGTTCCTTTCCCTTTCAAAAGGGTGTTCCGTCTCTGCGGACAGGATATGATTTTGTGGAAGCAGAAGCAGTCCATGCTGGCCTGGGGCTTAAGGGGCTGAAGTTGGACTTAACGGGTGTGATGGAATCCCCGCGCACGCTAGCCAGGCCGAAAATCGTATCGCTCGACTCGTTGGCGTGGGCGTTGTGCTGATACGGCGATCCGTGGGTGACGGAGGATCCGTCGTCCTTGAGGTGGCTCGATCGCGCACTGGATACGCCCGAGGCCGTGGTCCCCTTTTCGGCGTCCCGGGGAAAGCTCTTGGGGAGGTTCGAATACGGACGGGTCGGGTGGGTTCCCGGCCGCGTGTCGGTCTGGTTGCTGTGGAGGGAGGTGATGTTGACTCTGCTCATCAGACCCGGGAACATCTTTGTCAGAAGTGGGCGGAGCGTCGGAAGACAGGCGCAGGTAACGGCGGATGAGATTTCGCCGATGGACCAGAGCGAGGCGTCGACGTTGGTCCAGGTGAAGTCTGCCGGTGTGCTGAGGTACTGGATGCGTACGATGGAAATGGCGACGGTGCTGGCATTCGGTGTTACTAAAACGGACAAACGAGGTTTTTCCATGCGTGAGACAGGATCTCCCGAGGTTGATGACTTACAAGAATCCAAGACTGAAGATTCCCATGAGGAGCGCTTTCTGTTTCCGTGGCAGGCTGAGATGCCAGAAAATGGGCAACGGCAGCGCAAAGACGGCAACGTCGGTGATGATGTTTCCAGCTGCGTTGACGTACCACTGCGGCTGATTGGGGATGCAGTGCGACGCCACCGACTTGTCCCAGAACCCTTCGACTGGGAGGCATTGGAACGCGGCGATGAAGACCTGCGAGGTTGACCAGGCGCCGACCACGAGGAGGGCGACTGCGTAGATTCTACGCATCCGAGGTACGGCCATTATACGGTAGTACTGGCACAGGAAGGAGAGTTTGATGGCGAGGAGGGCGATGTTGTAGAATACGATGGATATGTAGAACATCTTGGGTTGCATTGTTAGTCGAGGGGACTGAGCCATCATCAATACTGTGATGAGGCGAGTGTGACTTTACTTACGTGCATGTATTCTACAATATCCGCTGGCTTGAGGACGACGATGTGTCTGCCAAGACCATAGTTGGTCACTTTTATAGTCGTCAGCTAATCTTCCTCCGCTAAGATTGCATGAGTATCTGACTTACTGAGTGCGATGGCGATGCCACAACCTGTTGTTGCCAACTAGAACAACAAATCAGACTCAGCTTCTCGACATTGAGGTAGACATCGTCACTTTCACTCACCAGAGCCACAACAGCTAGTATATCATCGATACCGAAGAGTACGATAACTCTTGTCCTCGTATAGATCCTCAACCCAACCATCGCCGTCACAAACAGGATGCAGAAAACCACAGATGCGACCACTGTGGTCCTTCGATCATCTTGATAAACTTCTAGTGGGATCGCTGTGTCCATGGTTGCGTCGACGGGGAAGAATAGGCAGTATAGCTAAACCAGGCCGGATTTCTGCTGAGGACTAGTGAACTGAATGGCGGGCACTGCCCGTGTAAGAGTACCGTACAGATGAGGGATGGAGGAGAAGGGAAAACCAAAGGAAGGTTGAACAGGATGGTGTTGTCGGAGATTGTCTCAGTGTTTGTCGGGGATACTCGAGAGATATTAGTAAAAGAAGCAGGAACAAGCAACGCAAACGAGGTAGTTCAGTCCATTCTGGGGGAGGGTGTTCACGAAATAAGACGACACGAACCGGCATACCCAGACTTTTCCAAACAGCGTTTGCGCGAGGGATTGCCTTTGGGTCTAAGCTGCCCAGCACATCCCATCCCAGCAGATAACCGCTGCCCATCGTAATCGAGTCATTCACTTCTACAACAGTACGCCTCCTGTAACGCCGAGCAACTGATCCTGGGGGAAGGAGGCATGACAGCCTTTGGTGCGCGGCCGGATTTGTAGCCGCGCGACGTGCAGCAATGGGGGAAACGGAGGCGGAAAACAGGTTGACGGGGGTTCCCTTCCCTGGGGTCAACTTAACCCACCCCCATCGCGTGAGGCTCCACACGGCGAGTTGCAAACCTACAACACAGTATAGAGAATATAGGAGATTTCCTGACTCTTCCAATTCCCTGCCTTTGTGGCAAAGGGGGCGACAAAGAGGGGTTTGCTAGGAGTTCACACAGGCCCAGAAACAGGCTTATCCGAACCAAGATTCTAGTTCATGAGTAGACGACGTATCCACGTCCGCACTCCTTTGATCACTGAAGTCGACCAATATGAACAAATGAGAGAACTACGAGATTGGAGGGAGGGAGGAAACGGGGCTATACACACTTCCCGAGGGAAGACCAGAGTTTAAATGGCGGAAAGCCAAGTTGCGAGAACCAAAGAAGCGAATACCTATATAGACAGACTGCCATATATAGCACTATAGTTATCTCGGGAAGAGACAAGAGAGGCCAGGCATGGATACAAAGATCGGATGTCTTCAGAATCTTCCCTCCCATCACCATCCTTTTGTGAAGCAGCTCTTCTAGATCACCTACTGGCCTTTGCTGCAACACACAGACATAATGAACCGATGTAAGAATGGCGGCCAGCATAAGCCACAGGGACGACCACACAGGTTGGAACTTTGTTCAAGGAAAAAGGGATCCGGACACTTATCGTACATGCTTACAATGAAAGAATGCACGGACAGTCGAGAAAGGCTTGCGATGACAGCGGAGGACCTTGCTCGATGACTCCGGACGCAGGTTGCGCATCGAATCATGATGCGAATCTTGCACAAGCCCAGCCGGGTAGAGTTGGTCCACCGCGCTCGGTCCTCTTCGCTCTGCCTTCCATCATCCCACCATCTTGAAAGGAAACAGTCGGTCCCACGACGGTCATCTACGCAGGGTTTTCTTGGCTTTTGGCTTTTGATATCTATCCGAAATCTTGGAGTTGCATATTTGCCTGTGTTTATCCCATCCTGTTGAACTCTTTTTTCATCTCCCCGCTCCCGCAAGGACGGCACTTGATTCTCCCGACAAGTTGTGGACAGGTTCGGTCACAAGATTACCAGACGAATGAGTTAGACATCGGTTTTTTTACCAAATTTTACCTCGCGAGTAAACAAGAAGGCCGAGATTTATAAGCGATTGATGCTGGTATATCAGCTTCGCCCATTCGAACTCAATCTTGCTCCACACGTTCTAGCAATACACCCTTCCATTGATTACTATGCTTGACACGTGCGAGGACTCAATAGGGCATGCTTTAAAACCTCTGGAGATGCGGAAAAGAACGAATCACAGAGTACGATGCTCCTCGTTGCGGGAGCGGGCCACCTCGGAAGCTACTGCAATCAGACGTTCAGTCATCATGTCATGCAACCTGAGCCCGACACGCCCCGCATGCCAATGTTTCTCATTTTCCATCTGCTCTCTCGTCTCTAATACCACCCTTTCCATGTTCTATCGAACGAAGAAAAGGAAACAAAGGGATAAGAAGGGCTACGGTAAGTAGAGCAAGTGACTGGAGTATAATCCGCGTGTCCCCGTGCGAATCGCCGGCTAGTTCGTCCAACGAGTGTCCTTTGATAGACATGCAGAATATGAACTACAGACGCAAAGACGGGTGGAAGAGCACGAGTCGCACCCATGCCAGGCTCCGATGCCTCTACCCTGCCCAGCTGCCGTACCCGGGGAGGGATCCTTGGCCGTCGTGGGCCGGCGTCTACGATTGACTGCTTGTCGTGTCCATTCTTGTCTCGTCCTGTCTCGACGCAAGTCCGTGCAACATGTGTCGCTTGTCGTGTCTTCGAAGTTCGCGTTCCGTCCCCGGCAGCCAAACCTCACCTTTGATCAAGGACGGAAGAGGGCAGAGGAAATGTCTCGCCGTGTATGACTGAAAGAGCTGCTCTTTCTCTCCCATCAACATAGCATTCTGCTAGACTATAAGGCATACATAATACCATCGTCACCTGTACGGTTCTATCACAGATTCAGAGTTCTCATAAAGTTGAGTTGGGCAGAAGGCTTGACTCAACTCAACCCCCCTCGGGAGCATTAGAGGATCATCGCTTCTGTGAAGCCGGGAAATCTGATACATGTGACGAATCTGACAAAACCTCAACGTGCCAAGCGAGTTTGAATGTCACCGCAGCATGCAAATCAGATTTTCAATTACTGAACGCCTGAAGGACATCTGTACAACATCGGGATCGGCTCGCTGTGACGGATGTTGGCCATATGTGAATCCCTAGATCAGGTATGTCCAGGGTCTCCAATCCTTCTGTTGATTGGTTTCCGCGTCATCGCCGTCGCGACAGACGGTCGCCTGCCACGTGCCGGTGTTGCATTACCGATGCTTCAGTGTTTATCTCTATATGTACAGCAGCGCGCATCATGAAGAGTACCCGATTCAGGTGCGGTCCAAGAGCGGTCTCTATTCTTGGGTTCATATTTAGTAGTCGGAACCGTCAGATGGCGATTTCCAGTTACAGACGAAAGTATGCCTCGCAAATGAGACTTGTAAA